GAGTTCAGGAGAATGAAAGCGGAGAAAGGAGGAGCAAATTGCGCCATGAAATGAATAATGATTGGAATAAGCCAATAAATGGAGGACATTGGATCAAAATTAAAAAAAATAAAAATGAAAGTTTTTAATATATTTTACTTTGTATTTGTCTTTTTTATGAATATTTTCAAAAAATGCTGAAAAGTAAGACTGAATTATACAAAAAAAAAGGAAAAATGAAAGTTATAATTTTTTAAACTTCATGAAAACGAAATTATTTATTGAGCAAATGATGACATTGAAGTAAGGGAAAAATATAGAAATTATTTGTGCAGTCGATTACATTCCTTCTTTTTCATCACTAATAACTTTTAATTTCTTTTAGGTTTTAACTTTTACCGTATGCTAACTTCAAACTCAATTTAAAAATATTTTTCTATATTTTAAATGAAATATGATGATTTGCGCATAGCAGGCGGAAATATGCATTCTCACAAGAAAATGACCTCTTAATTTGAATTTTTTTTTTTTAAAAAAAAGCAGACTCCATAACGATGATAAATTGTTCATTTTGTACTACGTAGATTCCATTGATAGGTACGATATTTTAACTTAGCTTTTTTTTTCTTCAATTTCTAATTTCGTTTAATATCTTGTTGATAAGATAGATAAGATTTGATAGCTTTAAAAAGTGTTTTCCATATAAAATTTAGAAAAAAAAATAGTTGAATAATATTTGAAATAAAGTTATTCATAGAAATATTTTTAATTTTAATCGATTGAATTTAGAATTTGATTTTATAGTCATTTTAACATTGTATTTCGACATCATACTGAAATTTTTTTTAAAATTTTCAAAGATCAATGAAAACAAAAATTAACAAAAGTATCAATTACAAATAACAATGATAAATCGGGGAAGAAAATTGAAAATTTTTTATTGAAATTAACAAGGACACAAAGCTTACATCTTTTAATTTACACTTACCGCCTGAATATATCAGCAAAAACAAAGGGGAGAGTAGCAATAACTTATATCTTCTAATTTACACTTATCGCCTCGAATATAACAACAGATTAATTAAATTAATATTGGTCTTATAATCCATCTTTTCTTCTTGTAAATCTTGAAAGGAAAAATCATTCCTTAACAGTATCTTTCTTCATTTAATTCTATTAAGAATGGGCTATGGAAATTTAACAATTTGCGCAAATAGATGGAAAATTGCGCTTTCAATTTGATATCATTTTTCACAATATCAATAAATTTTGCATTATCAACTCTTTATCTTAGCTTTAACTTTTCATCATACCACAGTTTAAATTATTCCAGTATAAATTAAGTAATTGAATTTACTACATGTTAAGTTCTACTGATTTAATTTTACAGATGATAAGCAGATCTCGTCTGTCAGCCATTTAAAATGATAAACGAAATTGACAAACATAAATAAAAATTAAAATTTCAAATGAACTTTCAAGCTAATTTCACAATCACAATGTTAAATGGTGATAATTAGAACGAAAAAAAGATTAATGAAGAATGAACAAAGATTATTTCTAGAGTAATGTATAAGGACGGGAAATGGAAAAGGGTAAGATATTATTCCATCAAAAACATTATCAGATTGTAATTATGCGACATTGTAATTGTTAAGAATTTTAATGTCATCAATGGATAGATTAGTGATTAATATCAATTTATCATTATTTCTTATCAACTTATCATTTTCACATCATTTCATTCCTTACTAGATTTGCTTTTTTTGCATTAATTGAAATTTTGCTTATTTTAGTAATAAAGTTAGTATTTAGAATAGATCGTTGAAAATTTCCAGCAGTTTTTGAAACTTATCAAATATTTTTCGGTTCAGGCAAAGTAATTTAAATTTTCAATAATTTGCATAAAATTTTAAATACATTGCAATTTTTTCTATTTTCAAATCATTGACAATTTTTCGTATTTTCTTTAACAGTTTGTCATTAAATTATTTTTTTTTTGCATTATGCAAATTTTTATGATAAATTTTATTTCGAAAAAGTTAAATAAGAGAAGAAATACCTTCGATCAATTAATTATCCTTTTTATTCGAATTGTCAAATATCTTTCGAATCGCTTTCTTCCTATATTTTCCTTTTTAAATTTCATCTGTAATTTCAACTCCTTTCTACTAATAAATTTTGCTCATGAAACAAGAAATATTTTTGAAATTTTAAACTATAAAAATTTTCCCAAAAATTATAAGTGCAAATTTTTTTAAAAAAATTATATTTTTAGAACAGAATGAAATTGATTTTTTTTTTTTGAATGAGATAATCGTTGAAATTGTATATGTTTCCTTTAATTTATGATCATTGAAGGAAACAAAAAACAAAGCCTCAAGTTGATTAATGAACATCTTCTAATTATAATTATCCATCTCAAGTTGCTTCATATCTTTCTCAATTATCTATCTCAAGTTGTTTCATATCTTTCTCAATTATCTATCTCAAGTTGTTTCATATCTTTCTCAATTATCTA